ATGCGTTTTTGAAGAATAGAAGAAGGAGCACAATGCCATTGCGCAATTTCTATAGTGTTATTGAATCGAAAATAAAAATCCACGTAGAAAAAAAGAACACAATGATGCTGCCATAAAATGCGCATAATAAAAGAAATGGCTTTACCCATACAATAGCAGGCACATGATGCTCTGGTCGTCCATCGTTCGAGACGCATCTTCGAACGCATTTTTCTTTTCCTTTTTATCTTGTGAGGGCAATATGCAGTTGATCTGTCCCCTAAGCCCTTGTAAACATTTAGTTACTTATTTATTTTATTTGTTATTTATCATAGACGGTGCCGAGGCTGCGCCACAATGTCAGCGAATATTCTCAATGTGTATACAAAATGAAACGTCCAACATAAGAATAATATCAAGGGAATAAATGAAACAAAAATAAGCAACACAAATAAAGTTAGGTAGAAACCCCTTTAGAACTCAAATGTTCTTTGAAATCTTGCATACCTATCGAATGAGTGAACTGAAGGTCGACTCAATGAAGTTACCCTTCTTCAGTTCACTTCTGGATGCATAGAGTTAGGCGCCTTCTCAGGTTTGATGGCAGGAACTGGAGCCATCTCGGAAAAATAAGGATAAAGGATAAAGTCTTCGCCGTTGATCAATCCCTTTGTGGGATGCGGCACGCATTCTACTTCCATTCAGAATCGTAGTGGCTTATTGAATGCGATGTGGCCTATACAATGACTTGCGGTGGCCAGCCGATGTACAAGTCAGTGTTTTATCCTCCCAGACGAATCTGGTACCAATTTACCGTCCCCGGAGGGTAGAAGGCTTGGTTGGCCTGGGCGGGAGTCGACCCGGGATTTGAACCCGGCGCCGCGCGAGTGGTAAGCGCGCCACTTGTCACTACACCACCTCCGCCTCATGAAAAATAGTGAGGAAAAAAAGCCATCATAACCAAAGCCGTTGTTGAATTGACACTTGTCCTCACCTTATGAACCCCGGAGTCCCCTTGGGTCGGCAAAGCCCATCCACTAGCTCGGTACATGATTTTCGCACCTGTCGATGCTTTGGTAGAATCGTCTCGTGTCTCGCCTACGGGTAGCGGAAACTCTGAGTAGTCCAGTACACTTCTGAACGCATGAATGTTAGGCGCCTTTTGCAAGTCTGATGGAGCCACCTCGCTTCTCTGAAAAATATTGAGTTGAAAGAAAATCATCATCACCAAAGTCGTTGAGTTGGTCATCAGTCTGTCTCGATGCTCCTGAAATCTCCCAAGCAGCTCCCTCTGCTCAGTTTTGAGTCTCACCACCTTGACCAAGGTACAATAGCTAGAACATTTAGAGATGCTGGCTGGAGAATCCAAAACCAGCCCGATCTTTATTTATAAACATGTCTTTGTCATACCTAACTGCAAACCGATTCCTCCTTCCTCAGCCCCCCACCCCTTCGCATTCTCAATCAGCTAGAATCCGCTCTTCCGCTCGATGATCAACGTCATCAGAAAGTGTGTCAGCAAAGCAGCGATGACGTAGCTGCCAGTAATATGATGCCTCACTTGTGGAAGGCTTGTCAGAAAGAGAAACGCTGTGACAACTAGAAGAAAGCATAGATATCAATTGCGCCGAATGCGCGACCCAAGCGCTGCCGTCGCAGGCTGTGAACGCGGGCTTAATGACATGGTTAGGCAGAATAATTTGCATATATCCCAAGAATACTGGGCTGTGGGCAGAAGTAGGTAGATGCGGGTTCGAATCCCGTCCGTGGTCCGACTTTTGCCCACAACTCAGCATTCTTGTGATAGCTTTCGGATCGCGTACTGCGGCGTTAAACAGCAGTTATCAAACAATAACAGCTTGAATTTCGCATGTAATCTATGACTTCTACGATGTAGTACAACAGTCTGAATGAGGATAGCTTTCAGAACTTCAGTGAATAACGACTTCCGTTGCGTTTCGTGAACAACCAAGCAAGGTCACGTTTATTGATCTCAAGCAAAGATAGTTTCAAACTATGTGACAGCCATATCTAATCTCTCGCAGATAATTTTCCCTGTGACGGCAGGACACATCTGAAATAAAACTGACGTTGATCGCAGGGGAGCATATGTCAGGGAAGCTCACTCATATAGTTGCCAAGAGGATGGTGGCCCACGGCAATATAGAGCGAATTTCATGACCTACGACAGATTTATGAAAAGAGTTTCCCTGTAAAACACGGTAATTAAGAGAAATGGTTATCGTGGTCACAGTAGGTGGATTCGTTGCCGTTAAATATTCAAAGTTTAGAGTTGAGTGATAGAATGAATCGGGTGTAGTTGATATCGGTGTCAGTAGGAGCGGAAGGAGCCCGGTAGAAACGAACCGGCTGCCTCTCACCAACAGGGATCGATGGAGGGCGAACGTAATTTACCGCCAAGTGGCTCGTTTAGACAGCGTTCAGACTTTTGCGAACGGCAGCGCTTCGGTCGCGCGTTCGACGCGATCGATGCAGTCGAAAGCATGCGCATCGATCGTCGAATCGAGCGGCCGAAGCGCTGCCGTCGCGAAGTCTGCACGCTGCCTTATCCTTAGTGGTCAAATCCCAGAACGGTTCCGGCTCAGGCCAACCAACGTTTCTATATTGTGTTCATGTACGGGTGATGTTCCATATAAGCCATACCGATTTTAAATTGAAGTAAGGGCATCATGTTCAGCATCCCAAATCGGTTGGTCGATGGGAGGAGTTTTATCACTGTCTTTGGTGATCGCTTACTGGTCAATTTGTGAGGAAAAACAACCAGTGAGGATGCTGCACAAGAAAAGGAATCTCAACTAATTACTCGATGTCAGCTGTGAGCGGAAACGCAACTTACGGCACCGGCTGAGTCATGCCGTGCTCTTCCGCTTGGAGTAAGTAGACAGGTAGTGTGCAGTGGCCTGGGCTCCCAAAGATAATTGTGAAGAAAAAAGAAAATTCAAGAAGTATTGTGCATATCTTCCTAGTACACCGACCTGGCTTTGCCAACCTCTCATCCCTCAGCTAGAATATGCAACAATAGTCAAAGATTACAGGGCCATTTATAGAGGGAACGTAGCCCCATTGACGAAAACGTAGAGAACTGAGTTTGGAATTGGTTCCACATCAGTCAACCGTTATGCACATCTGATTCCTCTCGCTAAATCTGACTTTTAAGCGTGAGAAGGCTGCAGCATAGGATTAATAAACGCGGTTGTTTTACGAGGATAGGTAAAAGTTGAAGTAGTCCGTATGAGCAGTGTACCATACAGCGCCCTTTTACCTCCGAGAAAGGAACAACTGCGGAACCATGGGTGGCAGAAAGAAAGAGAACCTAACTCTGCCCTGTCAATGCCGTGGATGTAAGCGGGACACGGGAAACCTGCATGTTGCCACCGACAGGACGTCCTTAATTTGAACCGCGGGTCCCCCTCTGACAATAGTGATGAAAGAAAACAATGATGGTGGACCGCTAGAAGACACAGAGGAACCACTCAAATGCCTTGACTGGTTGCTAACGGCGATTTCATGCAGACGATAAATTTATGTCCCGATGTTAAGGCATATGATTACGGAGCTCGAATCCTTTTTGTTAGAGAGCCCCTTAAGAACTTAGACCGACAGCTGACAGTGTTAAGTGATACAGCCCCTGCCTTAATGTAAGCAGAAGAAAACCTGGTAAATGCTTATGGTGCAAACCCCTATACCTTGAACAATAAAAGCACCCTTACAGCCTGGCAGGCCCTGTGATGGAGCGTTAATGTAATCAGAAGAAATGGTAATTTCTGAAACTCTAAAAAGATCAGTGGCACAGAGATGAGTAGTGATCCCTTTACACCACATCTCTAGTAAGGCCCCACTTCTCCTTCCCAAGAATAGTTTTTCCCAAAAAACTTCACGTCGAGGAAGGGGTAGGGGTAGGGAGGGGAGGTCGTCACGTCAACTCCTGGAATCGACACATAAGTAAAACAGTATTTATATAATGATTTTTCGGCGGAGTAGAACTATGGTGGGTTGGAGCTAGAGTGGTGGCTCACAAGAAAGAAAAAAATCGAGAAAAATAAACAGCGAAGAACATCGTGGCTCAGCAATTCAGAATATCCTGAATTCCCTCTCAAAGCCAGTTGCGGTCCACTCCCCCCCCCTAACGACCAAGTGTGAAGGATTCTCCCAGTACCCTGGGTGAAATGTAAGGGTTGCAACCAGATCGCACTTTTCTCATAAACACCTCCACCTAGTGATTAGAGTCACCATGAATGACTTTCGAGCTCGAATTTAGATATCAGGGAAATGCAGCAGCATCCCTGATATCCAATTTCCATATCTCTGAGACGCGGTGGGCGTGGCTGTGTACTGAATATGATGTACGATTAATACTTGTAGGATATTTCAATTTGCAGCAACTGCTAATTTGTCTTGCATTTGTCATGTTCCCAAACTTCCCCTTCTTGACAGCGAGATTCCAATCAAATATGCAGTCTGCCTCAAAGGAACGGTCCGCGATGACCTATGAAAATGCAAGAGGTTGTGTGGGAAGGTAGTGCGGTTTGCAGTAGACAACCCTGTGCCAGTTTCGCGGCAAGTTGTACGGCGCATAATGCTTCAGCGCTACAATGACTCCGCCTCCAGACTCCGCCTCCAAAGCCTTCCAGCCAAAAGTAATGCTCCCGGGCAAGTATCATGGAGTGGATGCATTCAGTGTCTCTTGTAGAGTCATAGGGTTCATTACTGGGAATCAGCCGACGGAAATCGTCCCAGCGCACGATCTTTTCGGTTTTTTACATCTAAAGTTGTTTGAGGCTAGATTTATGACGAATGTGTTTCCAACGACACTTTCTCTTCATAGACGATTCACTTAGCGAAGTTTCTTTCCACATTTCTTTGAAATCACCTAGGCTTCTTATCGGGACCGTGCCTTTGAGCGCTATGAGTACTTTGAATTTCCATGGAAACATTTTTATGCACATCGTGTCAACAATAAATAAACATTAACAAACTATATTACAATTCTTCGTCTCCTCCTAATTTGTTATATTCGGCGGAATCGGTAAGGCGATCACAGTCGGTTTAGTAATATCATAGGACCTGTAGGGATTGTTACGTAGACGAGGCAGCTGGTGGTCCACCATAGGTATCAAGGTGGGCTGAAAAAAATTCATTTTCAGAGAGGGTGCTCGCAACCATTCGTGTTTTGGATTGTGAAGAAAATTCTAGAAGGTGAAAAAGAATGCTTGAAGCCTCATAAAAAGAAAAAAGGAAGTAAAGGAAGGGAACAGTACGACATGGTCTGCATTGTCCTTGCGCTCGAATTCCACTGATCCTCAACTCTTTCTTTTCGTCTTTTTTCTTTCATACAAGCTTTTAGAGCTCTCAGAGAGCCTGGTGCCAGCAGTACAAGCGCCGAGCCAAAACATCATCGTAAATCATTAAAATTTATGTCCAGGTTTCATTCGGTAAACACGAATACTCTATCTTATAACTCCGAAATCGACCCCGGTGCGTTAGCACGGCCTCCAGTCGATTTTCTACCAAGCGATGTGTAAGGACAGCTAGATAGACACGGCGCTAAAAGGCAGCACGTCTCTGGTTGCCCGTGGCAGTCATCCTTCCCCATCCTAGGCCTCACCCTTATCAGAGGAAGGGATCACCCTCTCAGGGAAGGGGGGGGGAAGCGCAGAAGCAGAAACAGAAACAATCGCGTTATCTCATCCCTAATTTCCTCGCTGATGCGAAATTCATGTTCAGGAGGTCAAACTACTACAAGGGACAAGTTTTCAGCTACTCTTATGATTCAGGTTATTTTGACCTGTTTTGCGTACGCCAAGCGCTTTCGTTCAAAGCCGATATGCCATTGGAGTTCAGGAGGCGGGCTACCCTTCGGTGAAAGTTTTTAGCGGATTTGGTAATTTAAGACATTGTGCCGCCGGAGTCTGTGGAGCGGGCGTCAAGCTATCTCGAGCCAAACGGACGTATACCCCCCCCGCCCCCCCCCCAGTCGCCGCCGCCCGCCCCCCGCCCCCCGCCCCCCCCCGCCCCCCGCCGCCCCGCCGCCCCCCCCCGCGCCAGACCGCCCCCCCGCCCCCCCCGCGCCCCCCGGGCCCCCCGTCCCCCCCCCGCGCCCCGCGCCCCCCCCCCCCCCCGCCCCCCCCCCGCGTCCTTTAGGTAGTCAAATTACTGTAGAAAATTTTTTCAATCAGTCTGTCCATGTCTGCCCACCGGAAAAATTGACAAAAACTAGCCTGATAGATAGGGGCACTAAAGGGCAAATAGTGCCGAAAAATTACCATTCGACAAGAAGGTTCTCGCAACGATGATGCGAGCTGTGTCGTGGGCATGGTGAGGGGTTGACTGGTACAGTTACAGTCCAAAAGATTTACCCAGGTTCAGCTATCCGCTTTCGGGTCAAATATGCAATGGCATTTCCAGTACTATTCATCTGTTCCACTGGTATTTCTCGTTACTTTACAATAACATTAAATTGCCTAGTATAAGCAGTTTCATAAGAAACGCACCATAATGCGAGGTTCTTGTGTAGTCGAAGGATCTTTCGGTAATATCCGCCCTCCGGTATGCACTGGTCGTCGCGTGTGACGTTCTTCTAAAAAATGAAATTTTGAAAATTCTAGGAGAGGTGTTGGGCTTGCTCGGGACGGAAGTGGTGAGGCGGCGAGTGGCATCTCCTAAGTGAGCGCTGATCGAATCACAGAAGGCTCGGTTGATTGATTTTGGAGTAGTCTGGGTGGATACCAGAACTGCTTCGACTGTCTGGCCGCCTCAACTCATCGGATAGCATTGACCTTTACTTCGACTGGTCCCTTAAGATCACTGCATAGGCCATATCGCATTTGGAGAGCCACTAAAATTCGGAATGAAATTGGAATGCGTAACCCAGCCCAAAAAGACCACGTAGCCCAGCCCGGAAAAAAGCTATCAACGCATGTTTTCACGGGTTTAGCGCACACACTTTCGATCTTCTGAGGGCATGATGGTTATGGATTACACAGTCGTCAACCGAGGGACATGGTTTGCGAGACGGGGGGGGGGGAGAGAACATCGAGCAAGATGGTTATGCACTTTCTCCTATTTGTTGCTATCCTTTCACTCAAAAACATACCTAGAGCCTGTTTAGGTTTCACAGGAGGAAGATCTTCAGTTTCAGCTGATGTCGGTTTGAGCGCTAATTCTTCACGCAGCTTCCTTCTCTCTTCCTTCGTCAACCTCGATCTTTCATTTCTGAAAGTAACTTTTCAACCTCACTAAGAAAGCAGATCGGAGGGCTTACCGATGAGGATCGTAGATGTCGTCTCTGGTGAGGAATTTTCGCCTTTTGTTCTTTTTAGTTTTTCTATGCCGCCGAAGATAGGTGCGGACGCGTTGCATCTGTACCTGGTCCCTAAGCATCTATTAAAGGTCACGATTTACTTGATTGAGGACCTATCCCAACACTTTGATTAATACCTAGGCGGTGGACGAGTAGCGATGTCCTCAAAAGGATTATCTTCGTCCGCTGCAGCTCGTCGGTACCCTTCAAAATGGAAGAAATCGCAAAGTTGTGAAGAAAGAAAGTTCTGACAAGCGGCTTACGTCTTTGTAGCCGTTGGATCAACCTGAAGGGAGATGGTGGGCGTTTCTCGGCTGCTTTGCTCGGCTGACTTTCCTCCCTCAGCAACGGTTGCAGCGACTTCGCATCAGGCGATGCTGTAGAGGAGTCTGATGTGGGAGGCGGCGTAGTCTTCAACTTCGCCTCTCCATCATGAGCTGCACCTATTGATGACGAAAAACCGTTTGCTATCCTGGAAAAAGGGATCGGTGGTCTCCAGTCTCGTGGATCCTTCGGTCCTGGAGCGATAGCGTCTAAAAAGACTTGGTTGAAATGGTTGATCCTCCAAAACACCAACTTTCTATTCCAATCAAAGCAGAATGCTAAGGGTATTTTGCATTGAAATAGCACAGAACCGACTAATCATGGAACTCGTCCCTCGATTTCTCTTCGAAATCAAAAATCAATTCCAGCGAGGGGAACTTGGTAACCAAATGTTGTTGCGGCCTTATGACAGCAATGCCGGCCGTAACGCTCGGCGAAATAGCACGGTTTGTTGGTGCAAGGGTGGAGGTCACAAGCAGAAATCAGTAATGAGGATTAGGCTCCCATTATCACAGAGAAAAATTGAGAAAGGAGTCATTAGAATGTAGTAATGTTCCGTTTTCAAACTACAAACTGAGTTCACACACCTGGAAATCCAGGGCACATCTTTGGTTGAGGATTCTGGTCGAGTATCCGCCTCCCTCTAAAGGATGGCTTGGTACCACCCCCTTGCCACCACTTTCCTAAATTCCTGATTTTTCTCGAGTTTCTCCCACTTTTCCCGCTCTCCCGAATTTCCCTGAAATTTTGCTGGGGGAGGTGGACTATGCAGTAAATATGAAACAGGAAAAACCACAGAAAGACAGCAACCTCTCTCATAAAGCCAGAAGACGGACAAACTCCTCCCAACAACGAGCGAATACTACCCCCCTCGCATAGCGTCCGTGGAACAAGAACAATCAATAATCAAAGAAATTTTCGAAGACCAAATACACACTCCCCCCCTCCTTTTTACATTTTTTTACCCAGAAAGACTGCTCGTGAACAGATACAGCTGGTTGCAACGATATCGACTGTATCATGTGCTTTCGTACAACAAGGATGAGAACAAGGTCTGAATTTAAGAAAAATTATTCGGGGCAAAATTGTTTGAGGAACCTAGTATTAAACCTAATCCTGGCGCATATCTAGCCTGTAATTGAAGTAATTGTGTAAGAATAGAGGCATTCATCAGAGCCGTCGGGGAATCCCCAGCGGGGAGGGGTCGTCTCGGTCGCCGAGGAAAGAAGCGGAGGGGTCGTCCCTGGTCGCCGAGGAAGAAGCGCGTGGGGGGAGAGTCGTATTCGTTGTGACGAAATTTTCTTAATAGTTGATTTTACTTGTTTCATGGTCGCTATTTACGTTCTTGAGAATCCCATTGAGGGGAAAGGTCGTCGTCGGTCGTCGTTCCAGTGATGGGTTGTATTTGCCTGAAGGAGATACTTGCCGCGGTGTGAAAAAAATTTTTTCGCTTAGCCGACTTGGATTTAGTAGGCCTTTCTGTTGCAGGGGTCGTAGCAGGCGCCGGAACTGAGAGCGGGAGGGGCCGTTGTACTTTACAACATTTTTTCCCTTTCTCCCTGATTGAAATGCCCACGTTCCGAAAGCTGAGGACTATCATTCCTCGACTTCTAGCCGTTTCAGTTTGATTGCGATAAAATCGTATCGAAGCCATTTCTAGCTTGCGGCGGATGGGTATCATAGTCGGGATCGACCACTTTCTCTTCTATGATTGGGTTTTCGGTCAAAATCCTTTTTTCGCTTCACAACGACGTCGTTCAACTAGCAATAGATAATGGTGTTATGGTTATGATACAGCTTTTCAATGAATGAAATTCACATGCTGGGCCCAGTCAGGGAAGTCCAGCAAATCATGGAAGTACGGAAAATATATTTCTTTTTGAATTATAGTTTTGCTTATTATTTCTGCCAAATTGAGGTGTTGTGTGCTGCACATTAAAAAGCGCTTATTTAACCTCCTTTTTTACTATTACTTATTTACTAGGATGATTTTGCAGGAGCTCGATGAACTGGACAAAACACGAGAACTCGTTGCTGGCCCTCCGAAGTTGCCACGAACCGGAGAGGAAGATGATTTACTTCTCCATAGGGGACCTCTACCACTGGATACCGGCAAGTTTTGTGTGGTTTCACTACCTTGAGAATATCCGTGCTGTACTTGATATTGATTCCGCGATCGACTTTGTTGTATGTTGGCATCAGTTATCAGTACGGATAGTCCCTATTGAGCCCTCAAGGTTGTATAACAAGTTTACTTGAATTATGTTTCGGCTTCTTAGCTTATTGAAAACCTCAGAAGTTGGGAACATCTAAGATCGATTCACTGGAAAACCTGTACAATACTGAAAACAATTCCCCTTAGACAGTAAATTAGCGGGCGGGTATTTGTCAATCGGAGCAGTCTGCCAGGAGTTACCTGATGTCTGTCGCCATGAAGCAAGGTTCGAATACAGCAGACATGCGCGATAAGTGGCACTGTCAGCAAGTTGGCAAACTGCAGGAGTTCACGCACCGATGGAAACCTGGGTAAGCCCTTTGTAACACATTCCGGTTGACGGGTGCTTTACTATCCTGGGGAAATTGTCTTAAGTACTGTATATTTTCCAGTGTGTCAGCCTCAATTGTTTTCCGACTTTTCAGGCTCTGAAGAAAGCGAAACGATTGAACGTTTGCCGAATAAACATTTAACAGTCTTGCAAGGCTCAATAAAAGCTATATTATTAAAAATTGATATTCATTAAAATCAGTTATAACTAACCAGTCGGATCGCCCGGTGAGAAGTTTATTTCTTCTGAGGGAGGGCAGTCGGATCGGCGCGGCTTGTGGCCGCGAATAGGCCAAAAAAATCTTGTTTTAAGATTACCGCACTTTCCGTTTCAGTACTTGTATTTATATACCACTTTTTCCACTCTCGGGGCTCTTTTGGAACCGAACTACGAATTTTTCAAAAATTTAGCTCACTAATGTGCGCAGCCCCGCCCACTGTGGGCCGGGCTTAGCTTAGTTCATCTGTGTTCCGTACATCTTGGCCCATGCCCTACCCAACCCACCTTGACCCGCCCCCTCCAACTGGCTCTTCAGGTGATTCCGAATTTCCGGACAGACAGACAGACAACAGACTTCCAGACAGACTTACAGACAAACAGACAGACGTTGCCGGTTCACATACCTTCGCATCGGGCAGTTGATTAGGGCGGTCGTCAAAGGGCGGCGCGTGCCAGGAACTATTTGCTTTTTCCAGGCTAATTTAGTCATTTTTTCCAACTTTTCACTGTTTTGTTTTTCCAATTTTTGTTTTTTTTACTTTTTCCAAGATTAGCAGCTCCTTATCTTCACAAGGTGGAAAAAATGACTAAATTAGCCTGGAAAAAGCAAATAGTTCCTGGCACGCGCTGCGGTGCCGTTGACGACCGCCCTAATCAACTGCTCGGATGACGAGGGTATAGTAGGCTTGTTAATAATAGTATAATAATATTATGATTTTGCTTTGTGCAACGTACTGACCTTCCGTTTCGTATTGTTCTATTACTATTGAGAATTAC